AATTCTCCAGCATCTCACACTTCTGATAATCAGCTGTCTGCTTGACTGGTTTTATTACACGTGTAGTATTCTTTATAGATAGCATATAACTTTTATTTTTACACAATAAATAATAATAATAATAATTTCACCATTTTATTGATATCTGATTAATCCCTTCCCAATCCATGTGTGAATATTCTTTATACATGATTTTGAAGCATTTTTCTCAGTTAGTACCAGCTCTGGACATTAAATAAAAACAACTTCCAATGCAGTTTTGAAGGGCAGTCACAGCTTTGTGTAATTTTATGTGTAATGACAGTTTCTCAGTAGACGCTAGCTGGCAACCCCACTGATGGGGCGCCTTTGGTGACACTCTTTTGCATCTCACTTCACTGCATGTGGTAGAAGAGCTAAAATTAGTTATAATGACAGTATAATAATAGAAAACATTAAGCTCTACCCCAGTGGGTTTTTGTCAGCAGCTATGCAAGCTTTGAAAAACAGATTTCCAGTTTGATCCATCCATTTTATCTGGGTTTGGTCTGTGGGTGCAGCAGAGAGACATAATCTCTCAAGCATGTCCCGTATCTGCCCTGAGGTTTCTCCCCAGGTGGACATCACATCCACCGCTTATACAACCACACCTCGTGTTTTTAGGTGGGTGTAGGAACGTACATTGACCAGTAAATCTTCAGCGTCACAACAGATGCGGCACCAACCCGTCTGTCAATCTCCTACTCCATTCTCCCCCAACTCTTTAATAAGACCCTGAGATACTCAAAGTCCTTGACTTGAGGAAGTAACAGCTTCCCAATCTGGCGTGCCACTAGGTCTTTCAACTGCAGTTAGAAGGAAAATGTAAAAGCTAGTCTCACTACTCTGTGAGATGGGTTTTAGCAGTTCAGTTGTGTCAGTGGTTTGTGGCAAAAGTTCAACTGCTGATAGAAAAGAGAAAGTCGCTAAATAAGCATTTGTGTTATACATTTAAAGGTACAGAGAGACTAAAAAGAAATAAATAAGACTCTGTTTACGCTTCTTAGAAAAGTACCAGCACATCGTGCATTGATGGTATTTTTTCTGTTATATCAGGCCAAATTTGTCCCAGGCCACATTGCAGAGTGGTTACACCGATCAAATTACTTCGGATCTTGGTGGTTGTTTACACTTGTACTGAGTGATCTGACCACACAGGACAAGTGTAAACACAGTGTATGTTAATGAGAAAGCATACAGACTGCTTACATCTCTTATAATGGACGCAGAACTTTTGTGCTTCTCTGTCTATTAGGAAAAAAAAAAAAAGAGCTAAATGCAGAAGATCAATCTGGAACTGAGCTGTATTTTATGAGTATTAAGCAGCTACAGCATTCTCGTGCCTGAAAATATGTATAATCACTGTTTATTTTGTATAACTCCAGAAACGCAGAATTTAATTAAAGTTTCTGCTATAAGTTACATTAAATAGTAAGTATCATGCCAATATATTGGAAAGAACTAGAGCGTGAGGCTTAAATTGCAGCAAGATTCAATCTGGGATCACGTGCCCAACTACTGACTACTCCTGGTTAGTAACAGACTGCTCTTACGTCATTCTTCCACGCTCGGCTTTGATCGTCGAGATGATCTCCTGCTCAGATTCCATGTGTGTATACATAGTCTATGTTCCCGCTCGTGACATATCTACGTAGTGTCGAGATCAGTGTGCTATTACACTCTTACATCCTTGTGGCTACTATATACCTACGCGCTTTGGTAGTGCTTACCTAGAATTCTGTCCTAAACGCATTCTCCATGGGTCAGACTACTTATGGATTATGTGTGTACTCGATCGTAAACTTTTCGTTACTTATAGTATAAACTTACTCTACTCGTTTTGAGGTCCTCCACTAATCTTCCACAAGTGTAAAAAAATATTAACATGACTACCGCCATTTACATTCTCGTGCACTGCTATGATAAGAAAATACTTCGTTCTGACTTAAGAATATACTAGCTTTGCTTGTAGTTCACTTACTCAGATTTCTCCAATCATAAGTTATTATTAACACTGGATTCAATTGTAGGAGGCATCAGCTAGCATATTTGCTTCCTGATGAACACGACTATAATGTCAGCGACACTTATGAACCAGTCGCTCAGCGTTGTGAAGCTGTATAGTGATGATGAAGTTTCTATACTATGAGTAACTCAAACGCTATAATGTACACATGAAGAATCTGAGTATCGAATTGATTTATTACGTGGAAGGAGATGATGACGTGCTCAGCATTGTTTGAGTCAGGGAGAGGCTGTTTTAAGCTCTGTCGTGATAGCGATGTTGTCTGACTGCGCTGGGCAAGAAACACTGCATTGCAGTGCTGTTAAAGTCCCCGAGCGCTCAATAATAATCATAACACTTACGTTACTCTCATCGCGGTCTCTG